TCAGCTTAAAAAATAGAAATTGCTGAAATTTGGAACTAGCACTAGAATGACAGTATAATGTAGCTATGTCAGAAAGCACTTCTGAAATGGATATTGGTCACATGTTACTTATAGGTGTGGGAGAGAAGGGAGGTTATAGAGAGAAAGGAATTAACCTGTAGTACAGTTTAACCATTTAATGAGATATTACTGTTTCCAGTTTAGAGAAATTGAAATTAATTGATGCTGCAAATTTGGAAAATATCATTGATAATGAGGCCAGTTTGAATAAGAGATTTGTTTATTGCTGTACTTCATTATTGTTCCTTGTTCTATGAGAACAGCAGTCTTTCAGTTCTTTACTTCGCTTTAAAATGAGCGCTCCTGCCCTATCCTATAGAGTTGTTCAAATAAGAAGATAACTCAGGCCCGATGCAGTAGCCTAGTGGCTAAAGTCCTCAGCTTGCCTGTGCTGGGATCCCATATGGGTGCTGGTTCATATCCCAGCTACTCTACTTCCCATCCAGCTCCCTGCCTGTGGCCTGGGAAAGTTGTAGAAGACAACTTAAAAGCCTGGGACCGTGCACCTGCATGGGGGACGCGAAAGAAACTCCTGGTTCCTGGCTTGAGACCAGCTCAGCTCTGGCCTTGCTTTCTTAGGGAGTAAACAGCGGATGGAAGATCTTTTTCTCTGTATCTCCTTTTTTCTGTAAATCTGGCTTTCCAATAAACATACATAGATCTTAAAAAAAAAAAAAAAAGAAAAGAACTCCTTTCATTTTAGGTTGTAGCACATATCATGCATTGTTAGGGCATTCATATCCCAAGAGTGTATGTTTATATACTCATATCTTAAGATTGTGTGTTCAATCATTTACTTATTCAGTAGATTTTTACAGTATCTTTTTGATTAGCAACACAAGTGATGCAGGGATATAAAATATGAGAGTTTTTACTTTAGTATAATGAAGGTGTTAGAGGATAATGATAATAAAAGCTTTTATGCTAATATTTACTAAATGTCTAGTCTAATTCTAAGCACCTTGACTTGCGTGAACTCACAACCCTGAGATGTAGGTACTACTGTTATTAGCTACATTTTATAGATAAGGGAAGTGACCCACAGAGAGGTCAGATGACTTGTCTAAAATCGTAGAGCTAATGGTAGAGTGTGGCTTTTAATCTAAGCAGGGAGTTCTGGATTTAGTGCTCTAAACCTGTGCCGTCAGTGTACTAGGCACTGTCCGTGTTTGGCTTTGGAAAATGCTTCGATTGGGGCTCTCCAACCTGGACTGTAAAAAGGTAAACAAAACAAACCCCACTAAATTTAAAATATTTAGCATGGAAAAAAATCTATATTTAAACATCCCATATTCGACAGCAATAATGTTTTATACATAGTGACTTAAGTGAAATGTATTAAAATTAATTTCACTGGTGAATACTAAAAACTTTAAATTGCTTATATGGCTTGCATTTGGATTTACACTTCTGTTGGGATTTGCAGTTACACTGCAATAACAATGACATTAAGAGCAGGTGATGTTTTTGAGCAATGTGTGCCAAAGGTACGTTTTAAATTAAGCCTCTTTTTCTGAAGATTTAGTCTTTCTTGTACTGAAGGCTGGATTTTTCTGTCCAGTTTGTTTGCTTTTCTACTCAGGTGAAAAGGCAATGACAAATCACTGCGAGAGCACATGTCATAAGCCAAATACAGAGAAATTCACAGTCAGGGAAAGCAAAGCAAAGGAGCAGAGTAAGACTGAAGAAACTCTAGGTGGTGGGGGCAGAAAAGGAGAAAAACCTAGTAGAAATTTGTTTAGAGTACAGTTGATTTGTGTATTTTTGTTATCACTTAATTTGTATTTTTTCCATTTTTTAATTCCTATCATTTTAAGATACAGTTCCATAGACCCTGGGATTTCCTTACTCCCTCCCCCAAAGTCCCTCCCTCTACACATCGATTTCCCCTGTATTAATACAGTGGTGTAGTTCATAAATAGTCATAAGTCCATGATTTCTGGCCTGGACAGTAGAAGAGAGTCCAGTATCCTAGTGTTATCGCAACTGTTAAATATTTACCAGTTTCATTGGGAGTCTGTTTTTGATCTGGAAGTAGAGATGCATATTGCATTGTATCCTCACATGTGAATAGGATAGTTTCCATTACACAATCACTGTACTTCCCCTTAAATGAAAAGCCACAAAACAAAATAACAACAGGAAGAAAAGAAGAAATTAAACATGCCATGAAGTTAAACAACATGCTACTTAATGACTAATGTATACTTGAAGAAACAAAAAAGAAAATAAAGAACCTTCTTTAAGAAAATGATGCTACTTACTGTATGACCTATGAGTCAGTGAAGAATTTAAAATGACAAAACTTATAAACAAATGAAAATAAAAATAATCAAAATCCGTGAGATATAGTTTCCACTGATCTTTGTTGGTGAGATGTGTCTCTTGTAGGCAAAAATAGATTTTTTTTAGTGCCATGTACTAATCTTTGATAAATTTAAACCACTTGCATTCAGGGTTAATACGAACAGGTGATAGCTTGGTCCTGTCATTTTAACAATGGTTGTTCATTGCTTCATTTAGTTTTCTGTAGTAATTTTACTGGGATGTTCTTCACATTTGCCTTTGGTTTTGTTGGGTGCTATTCCTTTTGTTTGTCAAGAGAACATCTTTAAGTATCATTTGCAGGGCAGGTCTGGAAAAGGAGAATTCTTTGAGCTATTCTTTACTCTGGAAAATTTTTATTTCAATTTCAAAGACAAAGGAAAGCTTTGCTGGGTACGTTATTCTGGGCCAACCATTTTTTTGCTTTTAGAATCTGGAATGTGTTGCTCCATTTTCTTTGGACCTGTAGAGTTTTCTATCAGAGGTTGGCTTTGAGTCTGATTGCCATTCCTCTATAGGTCAGTTGATTCTTTTTGTGTGAACATTTAAGGATCTTTATGCTTGATTGAAGAGAGCTTGATCATCATGTGTGTGGTGAAGATTGCTTTAGGTCAACCTTGTTAGGAGTTCTGTACCCTTCTTGGATGTTGTTTCTCAATTCTTTCTCTGTACTAGGGAAGCTTTTTTCTTTGTTGTTTCATTAAATACATTTTAACACCCATCTTCTCTTTCAGTGCCTTCTGAAACTCCAATAACTCATGTTTTTGCCTTTAAATTGTGTCTCTTAATTCTTGAATACTTTTTTTTTTGACGCAGCTCTGCTTCCAGTTTTCTCATTATTTTCCCATTGTGACAAGAACTATTTTCTAATTCTGAGATTCTTTCTTCTGCCTCATTTGTTCTATTATGGAGACTCCCCACAGAATTTTTATTTTGCTCTATTGCAACCTTCATTTCCAATAATTGTACTTGATTTTGTTTGTGTTAGTATTTCCTGTGTGACATATTCCTTAAATTCCTTGAACTCCTCCATGTGCTTCTTGTTGGCAAGAAGTTTTTTTAATGAATTTTCTGAATTTTGTATTCTCTATTTCCTCTGTCTTCCTCAGTTAATTCTGAGGTTGGCATAGGTTTTTGCTCCTTTGCAGGGGGATCTTCAGTAGTATTTATTCTGCCTCTCTCTTCTTTTGCACTTGATCATTGTACTTCTGGTTAGCACATTCTTCTCCTTGGGGCAGGTTTCTAAACTATGTCACCCACAGGTCTACAGTTCAGTTTTATTGATTGAGTTTGGTACGCAGTTCTTTGCACTCACTGTGCCACTCCCTCCAACGAGTTTCAGGTCTGGGCCCTTGTGTTAGACTTCCATCCCGGTCTCTACAGCACCAGCTCCTGGCTCACTGCTCTCCACCTCCTATGATCCCATGCTGAGGCTGCACCATTGTCTGTACAGCCTTTCTTCCACTTCCAGTTTGAGCAGTTCCCAGGATTAGGGAGCCAGGGAGACAGCAGGTGTCCTAAATAGCTAGGTTGCTAGTGGTGCTGATCTTGCCAGAACCTGCTGGTCATTAGGACTGAGGGCCACCTGGACCTATTTTGACCTGTAGGATACCAGAGTTGGTATTATTTTTGATGTGGAAGTAGTATAATGTACTGAGCTCAATGGGTTTGCTCCCAGCTGAGTGCGTGAGCAGTTCACTGTGCCATAGGCTTTGCTTCTCTACACAAAATGGCACCTGATTTGGCTCTGTGGGGGTCCACCTAGTTCCTGCACACCAGTTTTGGATCTGCTGCTCTGTCTCTGCTCCAGGTTGAATCAAACAAATCAGCAGGACGGGATTTCTTTGCCTGGGTTCACCTGCTGATCTCCCAGTGAATTCTTCTTCCCATCTGGGTGCTGATGGATCTCTGGCTTCTGGTGGACAGCTCAGATTACTGTGTGCTGACTTCCACTTGGGTCATTACAATACCACTCTGTTGTTTCCACTGCTTTCCCATGCCCGTCAGTCTCCTGGTGTCCCTCTGCCATTGGCCTGTTCTCTCCTAGTTCCTGGAATATGCCCTCTCTGCTTTACTCTGGCCAATGCTTCTCCTTCTGCTTAAATATGTCCTTACCCTATTCTGCCATATTGATTCCCCCTTAATTTGTAATTTTTAAGAAGCAAATATTCATATACAAATTTCTGATTACTTTTGATGTAGACACTGCTGGGAAAAAATGATGGGCTTGATTTTTATATCAACTCATAAGGCATGGAGAAATATATTTTAGAATTATTAAAATATATGTTCCTACTATATATTAAGAAAATAAAGAAATTTCTTTTGCCAAATATCAGCCCTCAGTGAGCAGCAGCATGGTTGAACTTGAGATGAAACCATGAGTCAGCCTGCATGAATTGCATTTAAATTTTATTGCAGTAGACTCTAGGCAATTTATATCTCCACCTCCTTTGTCTATAAAGAATGAAAGAGGGACAGTGTAGTTCTACTTAGCAATTTCTCTTGACCGATAAGGGAACTTAGCTTTCCATATCACTGTCTTCTGAAATGCTGTATTTATAGAGCATGAAAATATTGCAGGCATATTGACCCCTGACTTTCCTTTTTTTTAGAGCAAAGACTCAGGTGGACTGAAGGCGGCTATGATAGAGTTGGTGGAAAGGTTGAAGTTCAAGAGCTCAGACCCTAAAGTAAGTATTGTTTTGGAGTTAAGTGTTGGTATCCCAAGCACCCTGTTGTCTTTATTAATGTGATGGTTGTTAATAATTGTGTTTCTGAACATTGAGATAAGGTCTAATTAAACCTGCCCATCAAAAACTATGTCCTAATATGTCTGGAAATAGGGGATCTATTTTTTCATTTTTCTGTTTTATGACTTACAGTACCTGATCATTAATTGTTTTCCCTGAACTGCTGAAAAATGAATTTTCAGTCTTCTCTTACTAGGCTTTTGAGGCTTTGGTCCTCTGTTCATTAAATCCAGCGAAAGGCATCTGAGATACTGATGAGCTTAATGCCAGGACTGGAACAGGATCCAGACCCATCCAATTGCTGCTGAGTACTGGCATCTTATTTCTGCCTGCTTGTAGCAGCCAGCTGCCATGGCCAGTGCCTGTGTCCCTGTGACCTGAGTCTAGCCTGAGAAATGATGTAAGCATGTCAGTGTTTTTTATGCAAGATGTTGGGGACTAGAGGGTTGATATTCTGGGAGACACCATATCAAGTGGGGGCGGACTGAGCACTGAACTTGCTGGAAGGATTATGACTAACACAGACTCCATTCTCCTTCCTACGCAGATACTTTCTGTGGCACTACCTGGTTTTGGAGCCAACTGGCTCTGCCTGAAACTCAAAACTTCTCAGAATTAGAGAAAGAACACGGTTTTATTTTACTTTATGTGCTTCAGTTTTTTCCCTTCAAATTCTTTAGAAGGGAAATTGGGCTAGTATTTCTTGAGTACCTGCTAAGAGCTGGGCAGTGTGCCGGGATGCCTTATATAATTGTGGTAAAATACATACAACAAAGTTTTAACCATTTTCAGTGTATAATACAGTAACATTAAGTATATTCAACTGCTGTGCAACAACCATCATTCATCTCCAGAAACAAACTGCAGTACTGTATACAGTAAATGCTGACTCCTTATCTCCCCTCCATCCTTACAAACTTTTGATTGCTGTACCAACCCCATAAAGCAGCTTATTATTTGTATTTTATTAACAAAGATGCTGAGATTTAGAGAGGTGGATCATTTGCCCCAAATCTAGTATAATGTAGTGACAGTGGGATTCAAGTTTTGACGTAAGTGTTCGTACTCTTTTATATAATGTTGTAAACTTATCAGTTTCTTTTTTCTCCTACCATTGTGCCTCAGTTTTTAAGTTGGAACACTATATGAGACAGAGCAATATGTTCCTACAGTCACAATCCATAAAATAAGTTTCTTACAGCATTGAAAGTATTGGGACATCGTTGATATCTTCTGATGACGTTTGAATGGGATCCAGAGGTAGAAGTATTTTGATAGATAGGGAGAGGTTTTTTTGTTTGTTTGTTTGTTTGTTTTTTTGTTTGGGGCTCAGTGCAATGGCCCAGTGTCTAAATGCTCGCCTTACATGTGCCGAGAAACTCTGGTTTCAGATCATAAAAATCTTTCGCCTTTTACATGTGCTAAGATCCCGTGTGGGCCCTGGTTTGTGTCCCGTCTGCTCCACATCCCATCCAGCTTCCTGCTTGTGGCCTGGGAAAACTGCAGAGAATGGTCCACATTCTTGGGACCCTGCTGAGGAAGCTCCTGGCTCCTGGTTTGGATCAACTCAGCTCTGACCATTGCAGCCACATAGGGGGTGATCCAGTGGATGGACAGTCTTTCTCTCAGTATCTCCTATCTGTCAATCTGACTTTCTAATACATATAAGAAATCTAAAAAAAAAAGAAAAAAGATTCATTTGCTTGAAAGGCAGACTTACAGGAAAGAGGGAGAGTGATCTTCTATCTGCCAGTTCATGACACAAATGGCTGCCATGGCTGGGTTTTGCCATGGCTCCATCCTAGTCTCCCATATGGGTGAAGGGGCTCAAGCACTTAGGCTGTCTTCCACTGCTTTCTCAGGCACATTAATAAGGAGCAGGATTGGAAGGGGAGCAACTGGATTTTAAACTGGTGCCAAATGGGATGCCAGTATTTTAGGCAGTGACTCAAGCTCATACTAACCTATGACATTAGCCCTATAGATAGGAAATTTTAAAATACCTTTTATTAACGGGGAGGAGACCTGGCACAATAATTGCTCCTTTAGTGAAGATGAATCAGTTAATTATTAAAGGTTACTGAAAGCTTACTCAGTCACTCAGTGTCTAATATCTGGGGGGAAACTGCTTTGCTGAGGTGGATGACTGTCTTGCTTGTGCCACACTAGTGACTGTAGTTAGCAGGGTAGCGAAGAAGGGGAGAGAGTGTATAGATCACACCAAGCAGCCCTTATGTATGATGGTCATGTAGGTAAAGTGCTCTAGGATCCTTTATGAATGCATGTAGGACTTCTGATGGAGAATTGGCCAGAAGTAAAAAATTGAGTGGTCCAGGGCCCGATGCTGTGGCCTAGCAGCTATAGTCCTTGCCTTGAACATAGCAGGATCCCATATGGGAGCCGCTTCTAATCCTGGCAGCTCCACTTCCCATCCAGCTCCCTGCCTGTGGCCTGGGAAAGCAGTGGAGGATGGCCCAAAGTCTTGGGACCCTGCACCTGTGTGGGAGACCTGGAGGGAGTTCCTGGCTCCTGGCTTCGGATCAGCCGGCCCTTGTGGTCACTTGGGTGAAGATTAAAAAAAATTGAGTGGTCCTGTGAGAAGAATCCACGCAACCTCTGAGCTTTCAAGTGAAGCATCATAAGCTACAGGGTATTGTGGGGAACCTGACTTGAGCCTTAGCTCAGTAGATGTTTACACGTACACCTCTGTTTTACCCCCCCTTTTTTTTTTGTTTTTTTTTGCACTGAACCATTTGCATTAATCTGTTTTATTTTCAAGTCCTATCTTAGTTTAGCACGTGCAGATATTGTATATTGTTGAAGTGATCTTGAGGTAGCGTGAACATAATTGCAAAGTAACGTCCAGGTCAGAAAGGTGAATGTAAAATGAGCCACTGAAATAATGTCTGAAAAAAAATTTTCCCTGAAATAACTTGGTGTCTTCCAAAAGCATCCTCAAGTTGTTGGTTTCTTCTGTTTTGCCTCAGAACCCTGCCCTCCTCCTGTGGAACTGGCCCGTTTCAGAAGGGCAGAGTCTCCCAGGCGGGATGACCTGTCATTTCCTGGCACAGGAGCTTTACATGGAAGCATTGATTGAGTCATGGAGTACCAGTCGCTATCTCTGCCTCGCTTCCCCTAGAATTCCCTGAAGCGTCACACAGCTGGATTAGTACAGACACAACAGTCTCCTGGCCCTGAGTTAATTCTTAACTTGGAGTTTTGGCAGAGAACAGATTAATTGCTTTTAAAATTATGAAATAGTATGTGCTTACCAATTAAAAATATTAATATTTACAAAGGAAAATGTAAATAAATTCTGCCCCTAAACAATTTGCCATAAAACTTTTGAATTTTTTTGTGGAAATATATTTTGAATTTTTAAAATAAAAATGTGATACTTATGGTTTTACCCATTACTGCTTATTATGTAGAATACCATAGCCATTCTGTGTGGAATGTGGATTTAATTCTTCTTCTTCTTCTTTTTTTTTTTTTAAGATTTATTTATTTTTATTACAAAGTCAGGTATACAGAGAGGAGGAGAGACAGAGAGGAAGATCTTCTGTCTGATGGTTCACTCCCCAAGTGAGCACAACGGCCGGTACTGTGCCCATCCGAAGCCAGGAGCCAGGAACCTCTTCCGGGTCTCCCACACAGGTGCAGGGTCCCAAAGCTTTGGGCCGTCCTTGACTGCTTTCCCAGGCCACAAGCAGGGAGCTGGATAGGAAGAGGGGCTGCTGAGATTAGAACCGGCGCCCATATGGGATCCCGGCGCGTTCAAGGCGAGGACTTTAGCTGCTAGGCCACGCTGTCAGGCCCCTAATTCTTTTTCTTAGTGGAATATCTTGTTTAGCTAAAATATTTGTCAGACATTTTTCTTTCAGATTGTTGGTTCCTGAGCTTCAGTCACATGAAAATTATTTGGAAGGTTTATGAAAATACAGAGTGCTAGGCTTGCCCTCCAGAGTTTGTGGTGCACTTGACTTTGGTGGGGAGACTGTTTCATTTCTGTAGTGCTTCCAGGTGGTGCTCGTCGTGTCCCTCAGGAACCAAACATCTGAAACCTACTGTGCTACAGCTGAGTGATTTACCCTCACTTTTGTTTTATTTTTTTTTCATCATTTCTGTAGACAATGTGAAGAATTACTAGAAAGAAGTTTAAATAATTTCAACTTCGTGATAGAAGATGAAGTACATACAAAAAAAAAGTAGCAAGGAGAGTAGAAAGGGAAGTAAACTGCTCAGTGTAAGAGTTCAGGATTTATTTATTTAGTTTATTGGAAAGATTTATTTATTTATTTGATAGTTATGGTAGTGGGGGAGGTTAGGAAAGAGAGAGAGAGAGAGAGAGAGAGAGAGAGAGAGAGAAATCTTAAATCACTTCCTCCATTCCTCAAATGACCACAACAGCTAGGATAGGGCCAGACTGAAGCCAGGAGGCTGAACCTCCATCCATATCTCCAGCGGTGGCAGGAGCAGGTGAGTTTGGGCTGTCTGCTGCTGCTTTCCCAGGCACATTAGTAGGGATTAGGATCTAGGTGGAGTAACGCAAGATCCGAAACAGTGCTCACGTGGGATGCCAACATCAGGTAGCTTGATTTGCTGCATCTGATGCTGGCCCCTTTGGGACTGATACAAACCATCATTGCTAACAGAGAAATGGCAGAAGATAAAAACAAGAAAGGGACCTTATCAGAGCTTAGGAGAAAGACCAAGGGCCATGCCATCGTTTAGGAGTAGGTTATATTCCAACCTGGATGATCAGTAAGAAACACGGATCCCAGTCCCTAGGGAGAATCTGAGCCCAAGAATCAGGGCCAGATGGTTGAGATAAAGCACACAGGCCTAAGTGAAAGACTGTGCATTACTTTGTGGTGAGTCCTGTGTTTCTGACGCAGACTCTGTGCACCTAGAACATCCTATTTCAGAAGATGACTTTA